ATGACGCTCCAAGTTTCGTGGGTCCGGCATAGGGACATTCACTTGCTGACGATTGGTCAGTACACATACACGAATGATCAGAGATTTCGTGCGATTCACAAAGCTCAGTCGGAGGATTGGACACTACAAATAAAATATCCGCAGCATCGAGATAGTGGTATTTACGAGTGCCAGGTCTCGACGACTCCCCACATGAGCCATTTCGTACATTTGAACGTTATCGGTGAGTAAGTTAGTCCATTCCACCCATCTTCCCATTCCCAAATATCCTACGACCTCTTCGAAATTAAAAATAATTCTTCTTTTTTTTTCTTCTTTCTTTTTCCTTTTCTTTTTCTTTTTCTTTTTTTTTTTTCAATGTTCCCTTCTTTTTCGATCTGACGAGCTTATTTTCATCAGAAAATGATAAAAAGGAGTAGTAGTGTATCGAATCGAGCCAAATCGGGTCTCGTGGTTTTTCTTTTTTCTTCTTTTTTTTTTTTTCTTTTTCTTTTCTCTTTTCGTTTTTTTCTCTTCGTGGTTTCATGCCTTTTCGAAAATGAAAAGTGGGGAAACGGCTCGATTGGTTAAAATAAATAGCAACAGTGTTACGTTCAATCAGCGTACTCAAATAGTACATACACAAACACACACGCACACACACATAGACGGCGACAATTAGTTAATTCTAATCTGAATCTGTCCCAGTTTAACGTCTAGTTCCCCTTTTAGTTTGCTTCTACGGTCAAATTTAAGCCTAGCTTTAAAACTTGAAATGTTGCCAATCGAACGCCTACTATATTTCGCTCCAATATATCTGTATTATTAAATTTAATTATATATCTGTATTATTAAAATTAAATTGTTAATAATCGTATGCGTTTTCTCTTAAATGGAACGCGTTCGAGTATTTACTTAATTTATATTTTCCTCGTTATGATGTATCGTGTGATCTCTTTTCCTTTCTTCTTTTTTTTTATAACAGCTTGAAATAACAATTAATGATGAAAAGATTCTTCTTATTTCATTGTAGATCATCTAAAATTCGAAAAAAAAAATCGAACGCCGAAAATAAATCGAATTTATTCGACAATCGATCCATTTCGATAATATAATATAATAGATACACGATATATCGAATTAAACTCGTAATTTGCAGTTATGAAAAAATTCAAGCATTTATCATCATGAAAAATATGTATATATATATATATATTTAAAAAAGAAAATATATATATACTGCCGATATTAAAAATCATTTATTTTTGAAATTGGTACATCGATGATACTTCAGCTACGTACATTTTTCCTTTAACAAGTATTTAATCCAAGTCGTTATATTTATCCACTTTACATTCGAAATCCTTCTCATATAAATACATACACAAATATTTATAAACACATACACACACATACGTATTTATGTAACGTACACGGGAAAGATCGATCGAGTTGACAATTTCGAGATATATCGTCAAAGCGACTAGTTAAATCTCAAGGATAAACGTGAAACTTTCACATGAAACGAGAACTGAAAAACGTTCGTAGAAAATCGTTTCGACGTTTTTAAAGTAATATTAAGAAGAAAAAGGAGAGGAGAGAGAAAGAAAGAGAGAAAAAGAAGAGCAAAAAAGAAGAAGAAAAGAAAAAAGGAAAAGAAGAGAAAGAGAGAGAGAACGAAATGGAAGAACAAATCAACGAAAATAAAGAAAAAAAATTCGTTCAAAAATCGTTTCAACTATGTAAATCATCAAATCCGATCTGTGTAAGTACATACATTACTAAGTATGTCTAAGTCTGATGACCCCATTTTTGTACGAGCTTCGAGCTCTAGAGTTAATCGTTAAAAAAAAAATTGTCGTCGATCCATATAATGAAAAAAAAAAGGGAGAAAAGAAATAAAAAAAAAAAAAAAGGAGAAAGATATAGAGAGAGCCTCTTTAAATTCTTAAATCGTGTATATATGTACGTGCGCGTTTAAGGGTCTGGAATGAAAAAAGAGGGTAAGGGGTAGTTCACGTTTCTCTTCTTATTTTCGACGTGGGCAATCCTAAAGACGAGATGTATGAGAGAGAGAAAGAGAGAGAGAGAGAGAGAGAGAGAGAGAGAAAGGATACATATATGTATTACCAGGAAGAAGAAGGAATAGAAAAAGAGGAAAAAGAGAGGGAAAAAGACCGAGAAAGAAAGAGAGAAAACAGGTCGGAGTCTATGAAAACGTGAGAGAACGAAATGGATCATTTATCATTCCTGACCGTGACCCCTAACTCGGCCATTGAACAAATGATCCTAAAGAGTAACGACTATAGTTACCCATTCTGTCTGAGGCCCTCGACGAAAGCTTGTACTTTTCTCTTTCGTCGGGTAATTACTAACGATCGGAGAAGAAGTTGAAAGAAAAGAAAAGAAAGAGAGAGAGAGAGAGAGAGAGAGAGAGAGAAAGAAAGAGAGAGAAGGAAAAAGATAAAAAAAATGATAATGTACGTTATAGCTCAGAATTTGTACTTCCATTTACCGAACAAAATACAATGAAACAGCTCTGACGCTAGATAAAATGTTTTCCGTAACGATATTACCAAAATGAAAAACCATTATACCACGTTTTAATCGTTTGACGATCGTAAACTCTATTCTTTAATAAATTTAAAGAATAAATTAAATTTTTCGTTAGAAACACAACAACCAGGTTATATTAATTAATTTCAATTTATACAAATAGAATATTTATATGTATATATTATTATATATATATTATTATATATATATTATTATATATATACATATATATATAATAAATATATCTATACTTCGACAATATCGACGATATCTTTGACGATATTTTTCTTTAACGATATTTCTCTTGATCAATCTAAAATTTAACATTCGAGAATCGTAACTGACAATGAAAATTAATCTCGTTTGTCAAGATCGAATGTGTATGTGTGTGTGTGTGTGTGTGTGTGTGTGTGTATGTGTACGTATGCATAGATATTTGATAATCCAAAAAAAAAAGCGAGAAAGAAGCAAGGACAAATAACGTTTCACAGTATCATACGAATTTTTCTCGAACATTTCAACATACTCCATGGGATTTTTCTCTCGCATAGGACAAATGACAAAATCAATAAACCGACTTTAGATAGGTCAACATTCACAGCTAGCTTCCATCCTACGACGGATCTCGAACTTTCCAGTTACCAAAGCGTTCGCAAATATTTCCACGGACGAAGGAATCCACTTCGGTTAGCTGTAATTCTATTTACTCTCTCCATTACCAACCGTTTCCCCTCTCACCTTCCTCTTTAACGTCCACTACTACCATCGTACCCCAACCCACCCCACGTAATCCCTTGATGCCGTTAGCTCAATCATTTTTACTATTTTGTATTCCCGTTCACCACGATATAGAACTTCTTGATAATTTGATAAAGATCAATCGGATATATATATATATATATATATATATATATATATATATATTATATTCTTCATGAAACATTCGTATTGATTGAATTTCACAATTTCCCACCTTTTTTACTTCGCGTTATTTTTTTTGCCTTTCGTTCGTTTTTTACTTGCTTTATCTGTCTCTCTCCCTCTGTCTCTCTATCTCTCTCTCTCTCTCTCTCTCCCTCTCTCTTTCTCTCTCTCTCACTTGCCTGGTCTATCTCTTTTTTTCCTTCTTACAAAAGAAAGAGACCAAAAGAATCTTTCAAAGGCAATGTACACACGCGTTAGTCAAGACGCGTCATCTTGTAATCTTTGACACGTAAGAAGCGACTCTCTCTCTCTCTCTCTTTCTCTCTGAAAGAGGCAACTTCAATTATCATTAACATCTAACTTGAGATCCAACAACAGCTCTCCTCTTCTCATTCACTTACGTCAACGCTTTAGAAAAACGATTCAACGATCGTTAAGTGAAAACACTTTCAAGTATCCTTGCCAAACAAACTGCGTAACCATATCTACTACATATTGTAATGTAATGTAATGTAATGTAATGTAAATCGTAAATACAAATCTCCGGTATCCCGCGATTTTTTTTTTATGTTCTATTATCACTAAATCTTAGTGTGATAGATTTTTCTTTGTTTTTTCCTTCTTTTTTCTTCCTTTTCTCTTTTTCCAATTTCTTGAAATTTGAACGTTCATCCGATGAAAACTGAATTTTTTTTAATTCGATAGCTTTCATTACATAAATGTATGTATGTATGTATCTATGTAGGTACATATGTATGTATCAGAAAGAAAGAATATAGAGGGAGAGAGAAAAATACTTTGAATTATTTCAAGCGCGTCCTCGTTTCTCTCTCTCTCTCTCTCTCTCTCTCTCTCTCTTTCTATCCATCTCTCTTTTCATCTAATTCTTCACCCAATTTCAGAATTTCTCTTTAAATTCCAAGCAGCTTGAATGATATTTTATGGATCTTATCTTTTCGACGACGTGTACGACATATATCCGGTTATCTCATATCACGATTATTTTATCTTTCGTTTCCTTTTCCATTTATATCATTTTATTATATTAAGACTCTCTTAATGAATAATCACAAATTTATTTAGACATACATATATGTAATATATGCATACATAAATATAATAATTAAAATATCTAAACGATATATATATATATATATATAAATATATAATTTATTTATTATCTGTATATAATATTGTTCGATAATAAATTCGTATGCGAAAATTCTCGTTTTATAACCTATTGAAATAAATATTGGTCTTAAACTTTGCTTCAGAAAAGAAAAGCAAAAAGAAAATAAAAAAAAGAGATTACAGATGATTCGTTCGAACGAAATCTATGACATATATATATATATATATATATATATATATATATATATATATATATAGTTTCTCGTTTGTAAATCGTGAAGACTCACGAATCACGATTCGTTACTTATCTTACAATACACGTGAACTTCGACCTTTATTAAAGTGTTAAGCTTCAGCAGGCAAGGAAGGCGTTGCGTGAGCGCACGTAGAAAGCATCGTATTTCATATCCCGTTTCTCTTCTATCTCTATCACTCTCTCTCTCTCTCTCTCTCTTTGTCTCTCTCTCTTTATCTCTCTCTATCTCTCCCTCTCGCTCTCACCCTCTGTCTTTCTCTTCTACACTGTCGTATACATTGAAAATCTCTTTTTCCTCCTGCATGCACCACAAATTGCAATATTCAAGCTTTCCACGTAGCCGAGCTACTTCGCTTGTTGCATAACTACTCCCATGT